AAAAAAATAATTTAAAAAAAGGAAAAAAATAAAATAATCTGAAAGCAAAAAAAAAAAAAAAAGGGCAGAAGACATGAATAGACATTTTTCCAAAGAAGACAACCAGATGGCTATCAGACACATGAAAAGATGCTCAACATCACTCATCATCAGGAAAATACAATTCAAATCCATGATGAGATATCACCTCACACCAGTCAGAATGGCTAAAATCAACAACTCAGGAAACAGTAGATGTTGGCGAGAATGCAGAGAGAGGGGAACCCTCTTGTACTGTTGGTGGGAATGCAAACTGGTGCAGACACTCTGGAGACTAGTATGGCAGATCCTCAAAAAGCTAAAAACAGAACTACCCTATAATTCAGCCATTGCACTACTAGGCATTTACGCAAAGGATACAAAACTACACATTCAAAGGAGTACATGCACCCCAATGTTTATAGCAGCACTATCAACAATAGCCAAACTAGGGAAAGAGCCCAAATGTCCATTGACAGATGAATGGATAAAGAAAATGTGGTGTGTGTGTGTATGTGTGTATATATATACATATATATATGAGTGGAATATGACTCAGCCATCAGAGAGAATAAAATCCATTTGCAACGACGTGCGTGGAGCTAGAGTGTATTATGGTAAAGCGAAATGAGTCAGAGAAAGACAAATACCCTATGATTTCACGTGTATGTGGAATTTAAGAAACAAAACAGGTGAACGAACATACAGGAGGGGAAAAAAGAAAAGAGGGAAACAAATCATGAGAGACTCTTAACTATAAAGAACAAACTGAGGGTCGACGGAAGGAGGTGAGTCGGGGATGGGATAGATGGGGGATGGGTATTAAGGAGGGCACGTATTATGATGAGCACTGAGTGTTGTATGTAAGTGATGAACCACTGAATTCTACTCCTGAAACCAATATTGAACTGTATGTCAATTAACTAGAATTTAAATAAAAAAGACCTGAGCTGAGATCAAGAGTTGGACACTTAACTGAGCCACCCAGGTGCCCCAACGCAAAAAGATTTTTTAAAAATAGCCAAAAATATTGAAGTAGATGAACAAGAGGACTTACAGAATCAAACTACACTGTGTTCTGTAAAGCTGCAATGTAGCAAATGAAGGACAGACCAACAGCCCAAATGCACAGGACACAGAGGCCAGAAACAGGTCCTACACACATCAACATTGGATTAAAGACAGCTCAGAAAGCTTATGAGCAAGGGCCTTTCTTTCCATCAACAATGCTACACCCACTGGAAATCCCCATGAGAAGGAGTCATTCGGGACCTCTACCCCACATGCAGATAGAAGTAATTTCTAGATTGACTATAGATCTGAATGTGAAAAGTAACAATAAAGCTTCCAGAGAATGATATAGAAAAACATCTTCATTAGAGTGAGGTAAACAAAAATTTCACAACTGGGGAAAAAAGCACTAACAATAAGGAAAAGATTGATAAACTGGACTACAGTGAATTAGAAACTTCTATTTACTCAAAACTCTATTAAAGAATAAAAAAAGAACATGTGACTCTTGATCTCGGGGTCGTGAGTTTGAGCCCCACATTGGATGTAGAGATTACTAGATAAATAAGAAATAATAAACAAACAAACTTAAAAAAAAAAAAAGAATAAAAACGAAAGCCACACAGCAGGAGGAGCTCTTTGTAATTCATACATTCAACGAAGGACTTATATCCAACACATCTTATTAACTTATTGAAGAAAAAGAGGCAACGTCATAAAAAAACGGGCAAGAGACATAAGCAGGCAGTACACGAAGAAATATCCAAATACCCACCTGCAACTCATCAGACATCAGGGAAATGCATTTAAAGCCACACATAGTCACCACCATGTCATCACACCAGATGACTCAAGTGAAGAAGACCAGACCCAGGCCAGCTAGCACGTCCTCCCACTGCTGGACGAGCGCCCGCTGCAGGTGAGCACAGCATCATCGGCACTCCAGTCCCTCCTCCCGTACGTGACCAGCAGACCCACAGTCGCATGTGTGCTGGAAGAAATGCACAAGCATTTCCTGGCAGCACTCCTCAAAGACCCAAATGTTGAACCCGCAGAAGGGTGGAGCTGGGCACCTCCATATTCTGGACTATCACACAGCAATAAAAGTTGTGAAATGTTGGGGCGCCTGGGTGGCTCAGTCTGAGCGTCTGCCTTCGGCTCAGGTCATGATCCTGGAGTCCCTGGATCGAGTCCCGCATCGGGCTCCCTGCTCGGCGGGAAGACTGCTTCTCCCTCTCCCTGCCGTTCCCCTGCTTGTCCTCTCTCTCTCTCTGTCAAATAAATAAATAAAA